GATTTTCCTGCTCAGGCTGGCTTCAAACTGCAATCCTCAGATCTCAGCCTTTTGAGTAGCTAGGATTACAGGAGTAAGCCACCGGCAAGAAACCTAGTTTTAAAGGTTTTTCCAAATGTATTTGCTAAGGTCGGCTAAGGAATAATCCAGCTAAAGGAAAATAATTTCCCTCTCATGTACCTGAGTGTGTACAGAGCATATGTATATCTGTGTACATGTTAGCTAAGGGCAAGTTCTAGAGGAAGAAATTAGGATATAAGACTGCTTTTAGGTTATTTAGGTCACTAGTTATTACATTGTTTTGAAGAGGCAAAGATGACACTGAACAACAGCAGGAATTTATTAGAGGTCTGTTGGGAAAAATTAACTCTTGGAGGTCACACCTAACCATTCCATTCAGGGTTCTAACATTGGAATTCTTTGTCATATGATTATCTATATACAGTTGGGGTACCCAGTAAATGATGTTTGCTAATGTGACTGCCGTGGCATGGGGAAGCTGTTATTTATTTACTTATGTGTGTATGTATGTATGTATATATGTATGTATGTATTTACTTATTTTGTCCGTCTTGGTGCTTGAACTCTGGGCCTGGGCACTGTCCTCAGCTCTTCAGTTCAAGACAGCACTCTACCACTTGACCCACTGTGCCACTTCTGGTTTTCTGGTGGTTTATTGGAGATCAGAGTTTAATGGACGTTCCTGCCCAGGCTGGTTTGGAACTGTAATCCTCAGATCACAGCCTCCTGGAGTAGCTAGGATTACAGGCCTGAAGCTGTTATTTTGCATGTTTTTCAAAGTCTGATTTGAGCAGATCTCCATTTCTCTTTTGAGTATTAGTCTTGTGCCTATCAACTTGTGTTAGATTGGTGCAGTGGCATATTAGCAGTTATACTAAGATGGTGAAGTTCTGGGAAGTGAGGTTTGAAATAGACTTGGTTCCTGGAGTCAAGGGGTACATTATCAGGAAGTCAGAAATAACATAGGAACTATTCTCATGTGAGTTGAAAGTATTTGTAATTTTTATAACAGACTCATACTTAGTAAAATTTCCACAGATGTTAATTCTATTTGTAGTTTGTTTGGGAGGTCTTGCCTACGACAAGAACTGTATCTCCATTTGCAAAGGCAAATTTGTTGATTCTAGAGTCTTTTTTTTGCCTGGCCTTGGGCTTGAACTGAGGGTGGGGGTTCTATCCTTGAGCCTCTCTATGCTCAAGGCTAGTGCTCTACCACTTGAGCCATAGCACCACTTCCAACTCTTTCTGGAGATAAGAGTCTCACAGATTTTCTTGCTCAGGCTGGTTTTGGCTGGTTTTTGAATGGTAATCCTCAGATCTCAGCTTCCTGGGCAGCTAAGATTACAGGTGTTACAAGCCATCAGCTCCCTGCTTCAATGCCGTATTTTTAAAGAGTAGTTATGAATAGTTTTTTTGTTTTTGGTTTTGTTTTTGCCGGTCCTAAGGCTTGAACTCAGGACCTGGGCACTGTCCCTGAACTTCATTAGCTCAAGGCTAGCATTCTACCACTTGAACCACAGCGTCACTTCTTGCTTTTTCTGTTGTACTGAGGAGTCGAACCCAGTGTTTCTTGCATGCTAGGCAAGCACTCTACTACTGAGCCACATTCCCAGCCAGGATGGTTTTTTTCCCTAAGGTATTGTATTTCATAATTCTTTTCAGAATAAACCTTATAACTTCTTATTTCTAGATAGTTGATACAAACTGAAGAATTTATAATATTTCTCATAGTACTTCTAGTTACTGAAAGTTGTGTTTATGTTTTGGATAGATCAGTACAATGAGTTCAGCAGATAAAAGGAAAACAATGTAGAAGTTTTACTTCCTTGTTCAGTTTGGCTTAATTTTACGATGATAAATACTTCACATATATTAACAGGACATTTTAATGAAGGAACTATTTTGTTTTCATATTTTTCTTTTATTTGACATTTCATTAGTAATATAGATAGATTTTGCTTCATGGCCTTATTCTTAAAGGACAGTGGCCTTAGATTTTCATTTATGCTTTCTTCAAGGTTCAGATAAATTACGGAAACTCTTCCTTAAAGTAAACCCAAACCACATTTTAGAAACTGAAGGTTGAGAATATATGTGCACGCTCTCTTCCTCTCCCTCGTGGGACCTGAACTCTGGGCTTGGGCACTGTCCCTCGGCTCTTCAGCTCAAGGCTTCCACTTGAGCCACAGAGCCACTTCTGGCTTTTTCTGCTTATGTGGTGCTGAGGAATCAAACCCAGGGTCTCATGCATGGAAAGCAAGCACTCTACCACTGAGCCACCTTCCTAGCCCCGAGAATATTTTCTTACTACCTAACTCCAGTCAGTGTACATGTGTTTTAGTTAAACAAGGCACAAAAAAAAAATGTATCTAGGAAATGAGCCAGGCCCTGCATACTTTAGACAAGAGCTCTTCTACTGAACTGCATCTTTAGCCCGACACACTGCCTTTTGCATGTGAGTGTTGGTGCCGGTCCTGGGGCTTGAACTTAGGGCATGGATGCTGTCTCTGAGCTTTTGCTCAATGTTAGAATTCTACTACTTGAACAAAAGCTGCACTTCTGGCCTTTTGATGGTTAATTGGAAATAAGAGTCTCATGAATTTTTCTGCCTGGGCTGGCTTTGAACCACAATCCTCAGATCTCAGCTTCCACAGGGTCTGTGGTAAACCATGATAAGGAATCATTGTATGGAGTGTATATTGCCTGAGGGAGAGAAGAGGGAGGAAGAGAGAAATGTTGGGGAACAGTGCTCAGCCTGAAGTCTTTAGTGTCTGGAGTTGAGAGTATGTGGAGTGGCTCTACGAGAACTAAAGAAAAAGCCAGGTGAGGGCCGCACATCTATAATCCCAGCACTTCCAATAACATGGAAAACGGAGGCAGGAGGACTGCAGGCCAACCTGGGCTACATTAGGGAGTCCATATTTCAAAACAAACTAGAGAAAGAAGGGTGAGAGAAAGCAAAGCAAGGGGCTGGAAAGGTGGCTCAGTGGTAGAGCACTTGCCTTGCATGCCTGAGGCCCTGGGTCAATTCCTCAGCACCACATAAGAAAAAAGTTGGAAGTGGCGCTGAGGCTCAAATGGGTAGAGCGCTGGCCTTGAGCTGAAGAGCTGAGGGACAGCACCCAGGCCCAGAGTTCAGGCCTCATGACTGGACCCCCCCCCCAAAAAAAAAAAAAAGCAAAGCAAGGTGATGTTGTACAGATATGGTTCAAGATTTTTAATCTTTTTTTTTTTTTTTTGGGGTCCGGTCGTGGGGCCTGGGCGCTGTCCCTCAGCTCTTCAGCTCAAGGCTAACACTCTACCACTTGAGCCACAGCGCCACTTCCGGTTTTTTTCTTTTTGCTTATGTGGTGCTGAGGAATCAAACCCAGGGCCTCAGGCATGCAAGGCAAGCGCTCTACCACTGAGCCACCTTCCCAGCCCCAAGATTTTTAATCTTATGCTCAAAGTAGTGGAAGATCCCTGGGGAAAAGGAAGATTTGTGTTGTTTAGAAATGCAGATTCCCTGAGTGCTTTTAAGGTTATTAAGTATGTCTATGAGATAGAATTGATAAGGATTGATATACATTAGACATGGAAGGACAGGGACAGGAATTTGGAGGATAATGCCTTAAATTTGTGTCAGAAACTAGCACTTTACCTTGATTAAATAACTGGTGTCTCAGGACAACCCTGTGAGAGGGCTATTGCCATTATATAGAAGAGTACACCCAGGCTTATTGCTCCAGAGTATTAGATATGTGATGTCATCTTGTAATGGAGATCGAAAGCTGAGGTGTGTGTGTGTGTGTGTGTTAAATTTGAATTTGAAGTGTCCGTTAGATGTCCCAAGTTGAGGTATCAAGTGATCATTTGCATTTAGGGTTTGGATGGGGTGGGGAGGGAGAAGTGTCTGAATTAGCAATGGAGATTTAGACTTGCACAGAACGAATCCGGTGTAGTAATACTGAAAAGAGAAAGGGGGCTTAAAGCCTCTGAAGGTCAGATTGTCAGGAGGGAGCAGATAGTATGAAATGGGGTGTATTCTTTGTCAAATGCTTGGACTTTATTATGAAAAAAAATCTGGATCTAATCTGTGGCTTAATGAGTTTGAGGCATTGATCTAGACAACTGGATTGTGTTTTCACTTCCACTTTCTATTTGTTTTTCTTTTTGTTTTTGTTTTTGAGCAGACCGTGGGGCTTGAGCTCAGCGCATGGGTGCTGTCCCTGAGCTTTTGTGCTCAAAGCTAGTACTCTACCATTTGAGCCACAGCTCCATTTCTGTGTTTTTGGTACTTAATTGGAGATAGGAGTCTCACAGATTTTCCTGCTCAGGCTGGCTTCAAACTGCAATCCTCAGATCTCAGCCTTCTGAGTGACTAGGATTACAGGTGTGAGCCACCTGTGCCTGGTAATTTTTCCCCCCTGCTGAGATAGATTATCACAATGGAGAACAGATGGGCTTGAATTTGTTGTGTAGTACAGGCCTTGTGGGAGGCTGACAGGAATTCATCACCAGGCTCAGCCTTTTCCTCTTTCTATTTTATTTTTTGGTGCTGGTCTTGGGGCTTGAACTCCAGGCCTAGGTGCTGTCCCGGAGCTTTTTTGCTCAAGGCTGGCATTCTTTATCACTCAAGCCACACCTCCACTTCTGTCTTTTTTGCTGGTTAATTGGAAACAGGAGTCCCATGAACTTTCCTGCCCAGGCTGGCTTTCCAGATCTTAACTTCCTGAGTGGCCACAATTACAGGTGTGAGCTACTAGTGAGGTTTTCTTCATATAAAGCAACTTTCTGAAGTTCTTCAGAGGATTCTCTCCACCCTTGTCACCAACCTGGTTACTTTCTTTTGCCAGTTTTTATGAGTCGTCCTTTTCAAATATAATATTCCTGAACACTTTTGGGTTTGGTTCATGTAGTACGTTGTTGGACGCTATTCATGATTGGGAGAACGTCTTTTCTTCCTGTGGTCTGGCTCATCTTTCTCTCTCTGTGTAGGTATGGCATCACAGCTGCAGGTGTTTTCCCCCCCATCAGTGTCGTCGAGTGCCTTCTGCAGTGCGAAGAAGCTGAAAATAGAACCCTCTGGCTGGGATGTCTCAGGACAGAGCAGCAGCGACAAGTATTACACCCACAGCAAAGCCCTCCCAGCCACACAAGGGCAAGCTAGCTCCTCAAGCCAGGTAGCAAATTTCAGTATTCCTGCTTACGACCAGGGTCTCCTCCTCCCAGCACCCACCGTAGAGCACATTGTGGTAACAGCCGCTGACAGCTCAGGCAGTGCCGCTCCATCCACCTTCCAAAGCAGCCAGACCCTGAGTCACAGAAGCAACGTTTCTCTGCTTGAGCCATATCAAAAATGTGGATTGAAAAGAAAAAGTGAGGAAGTTGACAGCAACGGTAGCGTGCAGATCATAGAAGAACACCCCCCTCTCATGCTGCAAAACAGAACCGTGGTGGGTGCTGCTGCCACGACCACCACTGTGACCACCAAAACGAGCAGTTCCAGTGGGGAAGGGGATTACCAGCTTGTCCAGCATGAGATCCTTTGCTCTATGACCAACAGCTATGAAGTCTTGGAGTTCCTCGGCCGGGGGACGTTTGGTCAGGTGGCAAAGTGCTGGAAGCGGAGCACCAAGGAAATTGTGGCTATTAAAATCCTGAAGAACCACCCCTCCTATGCCAGACAAGGGCAGATTGAAGTGAGCATCCTCTCCCGCCTAAGCAGTGAGAATGCTGACGAGTATAATTTTGTTCGTTCTTATGAGTGCTTTCAGCATAAGAATCACACCTGCCTTGTGTTTGAGATGTTGGAGCAGAACCTGTATGACTTTCTAAAGCAGAACAAGTTTAGCCCACTGCCACTCAAGTACATCAGACCCATCTTGCAGCAGGTGGCCACCGCCTTGATGAAACTCAAGAGTCTGGGTCTGATTCACGCTGACCTTAAGCCTGAAAACATAATGCTGGTCGATCCAGTTCGCCAACCCTACCGAGTAAAGGTCATTGACTTTGGTTCTGCTAGTCACGTTTCCAAAGCTGTGTGTTCAACTTACCTTCAGTCACGCTACTACAGGCAAGTGGAAAATATTGAAAAAACATATGCTAGGCTGGGGGTCTGTCCTTACATTTAAAATTTGTAAGACCACAAAAAAGATTGGGGGAAGTATTGTGGTTTACTGGAAGACCTGCTTGCCCTTGCTAGGCAGGTCTTCTAACACTTAGGCCTATTCTCTTTTGCTTTTTTATTCTATTTATTTTTTGTTTGTTTTTGCTTTTTTTTGTGTGTGTTTTTTTTTCCTCCCTGGTCCTTGGGCTTGAACTTCAGGCCTGGGCTCTGTCCCTGAGCCTCTCTGTGCTCAAGGCTAGCTCTCATTTGAGCCATAGTGCCACTTCCAGCTTTTTCTGAGTAGTTTATTCGAGATGAGTCTCACAGACTTTCTTGCCCAGGCTGGCATTGAACCGTGATCCTCAGATCTCAGCCTCCTGAGTAGCTAGGATTACAGGTGTGGGCCACTGGTGCCTGGCTCTATGTATTTATTTGTGCTGGTACTGGGGCTTGCACCCCACGTTCTCCCTTGAACTCTTGAGACTTGACTTTTCCCTTCAAGGCTGGTTACTACTTGAGCCACACTTCAGCTTCCCACTCTTGGCTGGTTAAATGGAGATAAGAAAAAACTGGAAGTGGCCACTGTGGCTCATGTGCAGCTACCATGCCCAGATTTTTATTGGTTGATATAGTAGGTAGTCTCTCAGACTTTTTCTTTTTTTTTTTTTTTTGGTCAGTCATGGGGCCTGAACTCTGGGCTTGGGCACAGTCCCTGAGCTCTTCAGCTCAAGACAAGTGCCCTACCACTTGAGCCACAGCACCACTTCTGGTTTTCTAGTGGTTTATTGGAGATAAGAGTCTCACGGACTTGAGTAGCTGGGATTACAGGCATGAGCTACCGGCACCCGGATTCTCAGACTTTTTCTTTAGGTGGGCCTTGAACTCTGATCTTCCTGATCTCCACCTCCTAAGAAGCTAGGATTATAGGTGAGACCCAACTTAGTATATGTGGCATTCCTTACTTAGCACTGGAAAAATAAGCTCAGTCTGATTGTGAAGGTTGTTACTATTTGAATTTGCAGACATGTATTTATTTATTTGCTACCATTATTGTACTCAAGTTTTTCTATTTTTAAGGACATTTCAAAATATAACGATATTTACTTATTTATAATGAGTTTGAGCATATGCTGCTTTTTTTTTTTAAAGCTCCATTCCAAGTTCATTCTTGGCAGGTAAAGTAGCTTGGAAATACTCTTAGATTTAACTCCAGCAGCATTTTATTTTTTATATTTTTCTTCTATACTAATGAGAATTGTTAGATGATTATTTTCTTTTCTTCCTTTTTTTTTTTTTTTTTTGTCTTTCATGAGGCTTGAACTCTGGGCCTGGATGCTATCCTTCAGCTCTTCAGCTCAAGGCTAGCACTCTTACCACTTAAGCCACAGCGCCACTTCTGGCTTTCTGGTGGTTAATTGGAGATGAGTCTTCTGGATTGTGCTGCCTGGGCTGGCTTTGAACCACAATCCTTAGATCTCAGCCTCCTGGGTAGCTAGGATTACAGGCTTTTTGTTTTTGTTTTTGGGTCCGGTCATGGGGCTTGGACTCTGGACCTGGGTGCTGTTCCTCAGCTCTTCAGCTCAAGGCTAGTGCTCTACCACTTGAGCCACAGTGCCACTTTCAGCTTTTTTCCTTTTTGCTTATGTGGTGCTGGGGAATTGAACCCAGGGCCTCATGCATACAAAGTAAGCACTCTACCACTGAGCCACCTTCCCAGCCCCTGTCTCTGAACTTTTATGCTTGAAACTAGTTCTCTACCACTTGAGCCATAGCTCCATTTTTTGCTAGTAAATTGGAGATAATATCTGGCTTTTGAACTGTGATCCTCAGATAACTCAGCCTTCTGATTGGCTAGGATTACAGATGTGAACCTCTGGTTCTCAGCTTGATGTGACAAACTTTGAATCTAGTTGTCTGTATTTTTTGTTTTTGCGTATGCTTTTGGCATCATAACCAAGATAATCATTGCCAAATCCATTGGAATGATTTCTTTTAAGAATTTTAAAGTCCGGGCTGGGAATGTGGCTCAGTGGTAGAGCACTTGCCTTGCATGCTTGAGGCCCTGGGTTCGATTCCCCAGCACCACATAAGCAAAAAGGAAAAGCGCTAGCCTTGAGCTGAAGAGCTGAGGGATAGCACCCACGCCCAGAGTTCAGGCCCACTACTGGACCCCCCCCCCCAAAAAAAAAAGACAAAAAAGAATTTTAAAGTTGTTAGGCACAGGCTCCTGCCTGTCATCCTAGCTACTCAGGAGGCTGAGATCTGAGGATTACAGTTCAAAGCCAGACCTGGCAGAAAGTCCATGAGACTCCAAAACTGGAGAAATGGCACTGTGGCTCAAGTGGTAGAGCGCTAGCCTTGAGCCGAAGAGCTGAGGGACAGCACCCAGGCCCAGAGATCAAGCCCCATGACCAACCAAAAAAATTCTTTTGCTTGTGACTCAAGCTCTTCAGGCACCATTGGCTGACTGTCATTTCCTTATTGAATGATCTTGGCACCCTTGTTGAAATCATTTGACCCAGTATTTATGGGTTAATTCTGGACTCTGTCCTGTTCTATTAGACTTATATGTTGGTCTTTATGCTAGTGTGATGTTTCTCTGATTACTAATAAGTTTTAGAAAGAACTTTATTTGAAGTTTCATTTGAATCTTGGGATATTTTCTTTTTCTTCGTAAAAAGCATGGAACTTTGATAGGATTAATATTGAATCTGTAAATTGTTTTGCCTATGGATAGTGTATTGAACTTCTAATGATCTTAAATGTTTTGATCCATCTTCATTTTTAAAAATCTTTTTATAAAACTGACATTGTTTGCATTGAAACTGAAAGCCTATGGTTTCTGGTTTCATTCTGCTATAGGCAGCCTTGGCTAATTTTGAGGTTTTGCACCTTCTAAAAATTCATTTATGTCCTAGGAGATTTAGATTACAACTACATTTGTGTTTTTTATTTGCATACTTAGTTATATAAGTTTTTTATTGAGTAAAATTGTGTGAAAAGGTTACAATTCTGTGTGTCAGGTTATGAGTACAATGCATCTTAATCAGTGCCACTCTGTATGAAGAGGTTTTATTGTGACATTTTCACAATAAATTTTTTAAAATATTTTTTTATTGTGAAAATACTGTACAGAGGGGTTACAATTACATGGGCAAGATGATGAGTACATTTCTTATCAAGCATTGTAACCTCCTCCTTTGTTTCCCCTCACAATAAATTTTTTTACAATGATATTTCCCTTTTTTATCTTCTGAACTTGAGAAGGTTTTACAAGGGGGTTGCAGTTTAACACGACAGCTAGATAATCTAAGTGTCCAGTGCTTATTGATCAGAGTATATGATTGCTTATTTATTTTTGTTATGGTATTTGTTTTGTTTGCATAATACAGGAGATAGAACCCAGGGCTTTGCACATGCTAGGCAAAAAATCCACTCCTGAACTACATCCCCCTTATTTATTTATTTAGTGGTGATACTTGAACTCAGGGCCTCAGGTTCTCTTTTTTGGCTTTCTACCCAAGGCTGGTGTTCTAGGGCTGGAAAGATGGCCTACTGGTAGAATGCTTGCCTGGCACACATAAAGCCCTGGGTTCGATTCCTCAGTACCATATAAACAAAAGGCTGGAGGTGGCACTGTGGCTCAAGTGGTAGAGTGCTAGCCTTGAGGCCTTGAGCAAAAGCAGCTGAGGGACAGTGCCCAAGCCCTCAGTTAAAGCCCCAGGAATGTGTGTGTGGGTGGGGGGGGAGGCTAATACTGTAGCACTTGAACACACCTCTATTTCTACATTTGTGCTTTTTTGTGTATGTATGCTGGTTCTGGGGTTTGAACTCAGGGTCTGGCACTGTCCCTGAGCTTCTTTTGCTCAAGGCTAGCACTCTATCACTTGAGCCACTTCTGGCTTTTTGGTGGTTAATTGGAGGTAAGACTCTCATAGATTTTCCTGCTCAATCTGGCTTTGAGCCATTATCTTCAGATCTCAGCCTCCTGAGCAGCTAGGATTGCAGGTGTGAGCCAGTGGTCTGGGCTCCTACATTTGCTTTTAAGCAAACTTTAAGCATATAATACAAATGCACTAACCACACATACAGGGCAAATAACCCAAACACTACTGCTGCACTCAGTTCTGCTGAGCACCTGGGAGTTAAGAAGCAGGTCATAACTGAAGTGTGAGGACTTAGATCTATTTGAATCTATTTGGTGCCTGTAGGTGTTCTTTAACTATTTGTGTGTCTTCAAAGATATGAATAGAATGACTTAAAACTGAAAAAAAGGAGAACCAAAAAAGATACAAGATGTTTGTATGAGATAATCTTTAACTATTTGTGTGTCTTCAAAGATAGGAAAATTTAAGACTGAAAAAGTTAGAACCAAAAAGGATATTTTTTTTGGGGGGGGGTCAGTCGAGAGGCCTGCACTCTGGGCCTGGGCGCTATCCCTCAGCTCTTCAGCTCAAGGCTAGTGCTCTACCACTTGAGCCACAGCACCCACTCCTGGCTTTTTCTGCTTATGTGGTGCTGAGGAATCGAACCCAGGGCCTCATGCATGCAAGACGAGCACTCTACCACTGAGCCACCTTCCCAGCCCAGGATATGCTTTTTATGAGAGCATTTTTGATGGAATTTCCGCTTAAAGGCTAAATGATTTGAGAGTTCCTGGCTGTTTAGCTTTCTCTACTATGTAATTCACTTGGATAATTTTCAGTGTTAGGTTGCTGATCTTTGTATTTTTTCCTAATCCTTTTAATTTAAACTATCATCTGAGTAATTTGGCGGGGGGGGGGGTACCCCATGGTGCTGTCCCAGAGCTGTTTTACTCATGACTAGCATTCTAGCACTTAAGTCACAGGTCTACTTCCAGCTTTTTGATGATTGATTAGAGTTAAGGGTTTTACAGACTTTCCTGCCCTGACTGGCTTTGAACTATGATACTCAGACTTAGTCTCCTAAGCAACTAGTATTACAGG